AGGAAATGGGGATAATCTGATTTCCAGTTACCACATTATTAGCTTCAAATGTCCAGATCAACAAAAAATCACAAGGCATACAAAGGAACAGGAAGTATGGTCCATTCAAAGGAAAAAATAAATCAAAAGGTACTGTCCCTGAAAAAGATCTAATGGCAGAACTAATAAACAAAGACTTTCAAATAAGTGTCTTGCACAGGCATCTTGGTGGCAAATTAGTGGTTTCTACTTCCACTGCCCTCTTTTTCTTCAATGAGAGGCTGAGCAGTAGATGCAGAGATGCAGATCTTTGTGAAAACCCTGACAGGCAAGCCCATCACTCTCGAGGTTGAGCCTCGAGTGACACCATTCTCAGTGATACCATTGAGAATGTCAAAACCAAAATCCAAGACAACAGTGTCTGATATTTGTGGGCAAACAGCTGGAGGATAGCCACATTCTCTCAGACTATAATATCCAGAAAGAGTCTACCCTGTACTTGGTGCTTCACCTGTGCGGTGGCATCATCAAGCCTTCCTTCTGCCAGCTCACCCAGAAATACAATGGCAACAAGATGATCTGCCACAAGTATTACACTCACCTGCACCCTTGTGCTGTCAACTACTGCAAAAACTGTGGCCTCACCAAGAATCTGTGTCCCAAGAAAAAGGGTAAATAAGACCTCTCCACTGGCTCCTCCCTTGCCTACAGGGTGGCCTCCTGACCCAGCCCCAAGGCCCTGAGGCCTCAATAAAATTTGAAAAGAAGAAGAAAAAACTATCTTAAAGATGCTCAAAGAACTAACAGAAGAAGTGTAGAAAGTCAAGAAAACAATGTGTGAACAAAATGGAAATATCAATTAGGAGATACAAAACTTAAAAAGAAACCAAAAGTAAATTATAGAGTTGAAAAGTACAACTGCAATGAAAAATTAATTAGAGGAATTAAAGGCAGATTTGAGAAGCCAGAAGAAAGAATCACCGAACTTGAAGATAGGACAATGGAAATTATTGAGGAACAGAAAGAAAAAAGATTGAAGAAAAGTGAACAGAGCCTAAGGAACCTGTAGGACACCAACAAGCAGACCAACATATACACTGTGAAACTTTCAGAAGGAATAGACAGAAAGAAAGGGGTAGAGAGAATATGTGAAGAAATAATGGCTGGAAACTTCCCAAATTTGATGAAATACATGAACATAAATATCCAAAAACTCAACAAACTCCAAGTGAGATGAACTCAAAGAGATCCACAGTAAGACACATAATAATAAAACTTTCAAAAGACAAAGGGAGAATCTTGAAAGCTTAAGAAAGAAGTGAATCATCATGTACAAGGGGTTTTAAATAAAATTATCAGAAGATTTCTAATCAGAAACTTGGAGGCCATAAGACAGCTGGCCAATATATTCAAAAGTGCTAAAAGAAAAAGAAAACAGTCAGCCAAAAATCCTCTATCCAGTAAAACTGTCCTTCAAAATCAAGGGAAAAATTAAGACATTCCCAGAAATAAAAGCTGAGGGAGTTAGTGACCACTAGACCACCAGCCCAGAAGAAATACTCAAGGGAGTCTTTCAAGGTGAAATGAAAGGACACTAGAAAGTAACTCAAAGCCATATGGGTAAATAAATATCTAACTAATGGTAAAGATATGGGCATGTATGAAAGCTAGTATTAATGTAATAATAGTTTGTAACTGCAATTTTTGTTTTCTATGTGATTTAAGAGACTAATCTTTTTAAAGAAATAGAGAAATTATTAGTGTAAAGTTAGTATTACAATTATTAGTGTAGAGGCTAGTATGACGTCAAAAACCAAAAGGGTTGGAGATGGATCTGTAAAGGAGAAGTTTTTATAATTTATTGAAGCTAAGTTGGTACAAATTAAAATTAGAGTGTTATAACTATAGGATGTTAAGTGCAATCCTTATGGTAACCACAAAGAAAATAGCTATAGAATATACACAAAAGGACACGACAAAAGAATTTAAACATTTCACTACATAAATCAACCGAACATAGAAGAAAACAGTAATACAGGAAATCAGGGACAAAAAAAGCCATAACACATATAGAAAAGAAATAGCAAAATGACAGAAGCAAGTCCCTCCTTGTCAGTAATTACATTAAATGTAAATGGATTGAACTCTCCAATCAAAAGACAGAGATTGGCAGAATGGATAAAAACACATGATTCAACTATACACAGTCTACAAGACTCACTTGAGATCCAAAGAAAAAACAAGTTGTAAGTGAAAGTTATTCCCTGAAAATAATAAACAAGAGAAGGCAGAGGTGGCTATACTAATATCAGACAAATTAGACTTTAAATCAAAAAAGGTTCAAGAGATAAAGAAAGACACATATCAATAAGAGTTCAATACTGCAAGAAGATATAACAATCATAAACATTTATGCACCTAATGACAGGCTATCAAAATACATGAAGGAAAAACTGACAGAATTGAAGGGATAAATACACATTTCTACCTAATAGGCATATCTACAATAACAGTTGAAGACTTCAATACCCCATTCACAATAATGAATAGAACAACTAGACAGAAGTAAAGTAAGGAAATAGAAGACTTGAACAACAAAATAAACCAACTAGATCTCACAGACATATTCAGACTACTCTACCCAACAATGGAATATGTAGTCTTCTCAAGTGCACATGGATATTTTCCAAGATAAACCATATGTTAGGCCACAAATTAATGTTATTAATAACAGAATTAATTATAGACTAAAAAACGTAATACATAACAGCATAATTATGCAGGTGACAAATTAATATTAATTAATCAATAAATTTACAAAGATATCATACAAAGTATCTGCTCTGACCACAATGGGAAAAAGTTAAAAATTAATATCAAAAAGAAAACTGGAAAATTCACAAAATTGTAAAAATTAAACAACACGGATTTAAACAGCCACTGGATCAAAGAAGAAATTAGAAGGAAAATTAGAAAATACTTTGAGATAAATGAAAATGAAAACATAACATACCAAATCTTATGGGATGCAGCAAAAGCAGTGCCAAGGGGGAAATGTATAGCTATAAATGTTTACATTAAAAAAATTGAGGGATCTGAAATCAACAACCTAACTTTACAACTTAAGGAACTAGAAAAAGAAGAACTAAACCAAAGCTAGCAGAAGGAAGTATAAAATAAAGATTAGAGCAGAGATAAACAAAACAGAGAAGAAAAAAACAATAGAGAAAATCAATGAAACCCAAAGTTGGTTATTTGGAAGGATGAACAAAATTGACAACTCTTTAGCTAGATGAACTAAGGAAAAAGAGAAGACTCAAATTACTAAAATCAGAAATGTAAGTGGAGACATTACTATCAATTCCACAGAAATAGAAAATATTACAGGAGAGTACTATGAAAAATTTTATGCCAATAAATTGGATAACCTAGATAAAATGGACAAATTCCTAGAAACACAAAACCTACCAAGACTAAATCATTAAAAAATAGAAAATATGAATAGACCTATAACTAGTAAGGAAATTGAAACAATAATCAAAAATTTCCCAATAAAGAAAAGCCCTGGACCTCATGGTTACACTGGTGAATTCTACCAAACATTTATGACCAAGTGGGTGTTATTCCTAGAATACAAAGATGGCTCAACCATGTAAATCAATCAATGTAGTATGCCACATCAACAGAACAAAAGGAAAAAAACCATGTGACACTCTCAATTGTTGCAGAAAAAGCACTTGACAAAATTCAATATGCTTTCATGATAAAAATACTCAACACACTAGGAACAGAAGGAAAATATTTCAAGACAATAAACACCATACATCAAAAACCCACAGCAAACATCATATTCAATGGTGAAAAGCTGAAAGCTTTTCCTCTAAGATTAGAAACAAGACAAGGATGCCTGCTTTTACCATTTCTTTTCAACATAGCACTAGAAGTTCTAGACAGAGTAATTAGGAACGAAAAAAAATAAGAGGCTTTTACACTGGAAAAGCAGTATTAAGTTATCATTGTTCGCGGATGATATGAACTCATATGTAGCAAATGCTAAAGATTACACGCGCACACACTCGCAAAACATAGAACTAATAAATCAGTTCAGCAAAGTAGCAGGATACAAAGTCGATATAAAAAAATCAGTTGCATTTCTACAGTGTATTACATTTACCCTCTAAATATACATTTTTCATAAATGCTCAGTATTTCCAATATAGACTATTTTTTTTTTTTTTTTTTAAAGATTTTTTATTTATTTTTTGCCCCCAAAGCCCCAGTAGATAGCTGTATGTCACAGCTGCACACTCTTCCAGCCGCTGTATGTGGGACTCGGCCTCAGGCTGGACAGAGAAGCGGTGCCTCCATGCGCACCCGGGACCCGAACCCGGGCCGCCAGCATCGCAGTGCGCGCACTTAACCACCAAGCCACAGGGCCGGCCATCCAATATAGACTATTAAAAGAGCCCCATAGAACAAAGGTTATAACTAAGTGCTCAGTACCTCTTTTTGAGATGCTCCATTCCTTTGCAGCAGTCTCAAAGATAAGGTTTTCCAACTTAGAAATCTTGATCAACGTTATGGTCCAGGCTAACCAGGGCAATTTTGGTGTGCTAACAGCTTACAGAGTTATTTCAATACAAGAATATCTTTGGATGGCAATTCTACTTCCCATTTCCATAAGCCGCACTTCAACTCTGAGAGTCAGTCATTTTAAATAGGGTGCACTTTGATGTCAATGATAAAGTCACCATGGTTACTACATTTTCAGTGCTTGTGATAGGCTTATCATTACATATAGTATTATACAATTTTGCTTGCCTTCAATTTAAATTTCTTTCTATTAATTACACATCTTTTCAGTCTCCATAAAAATCCCAAGACTTGTTTGGCTACAAGTACAATTTGTCACATAGAAAGAAAAATGGAATCAACTTCATGGGAACGCTCAAGAAGAGAAGCAAAACAAAAATGGAATTCATAACATTTACCTTATTTCCTCTAAGGAGCAACTTACTTACCCCTCATTACAAACATAGCGAACCTGTGAACCAAACTCCAAAGTTCCATTTACATAGTTTATTCTGCCATTTGTGGGTTCTTGTAGAGGTGGACATAATTTTCCTAAAAGATCATTTTCAGATTCATTGTTTTATACCAATTTCAAAACAGATTTGAATCAAAATCAAAATTCTACACTGTTCTTTTGAATGCATAGACTATTATTTATTTTCCTGGACTATTATAAGGCCAAACTTAAGATTCACATTTACCCAGGCAACCAACTGCCAAGAAAAAGATTCCCTGGAGATTTTTCAAAGCCTGAAAAACTACATTGCTCTCTAAAACCTACATTCACATGAGAAAACCATCATTACAGTAGTGGAATGTGCATCCTAAAATGTGTGAATATCTCTAGGGCAATTAAAAAAAAAACCAAAAAGGTTTGTTTACTGACTTGTACAAGCCTCCTGGAGAGGTGTCCATGTGTTATCAGACTGACAGGCAGCAGAGGTGTTAAGAGGAGGTCTCTCAAGCTTGTATCCTGGAAGACACACATATTCTATTGTGTCCCCAGGACTATAAGAGGATTGAGTGACACCTTTCAGCTTCATAGAATTGAATCTTGGTGGATCACGACAGGCATCTAGGAAGAAGAGGATAAGAACACAAAAATAAAGCATTTTACCTCTTTCACCAGGCTGGCAGCAGGTAGGTAGCACAGAATTAACGTAAACTTTTCTTACCCATCTTGCCACCTTTCCTTCAATTCATTTTTCACACTGCTACCAGAGTAATACTGATATGATACAGTGACCAACCCTCTTCCAAGTCACATGCCTGTCAATGGCTCCCCAGCCCTCAAGATAATGTCTAAGCCTCCTTAACACGGCTAACAGACTCTTAAAACCTGTCACTCTCAGGACGCTGCTCACTCTTGCACACTATCCTCAAGCCATATTCCATTCCACGTAGTGCCTGTTAAATTACTTAAATGACATTAGCACTCTCGGCCTCCATGCACCATTTTACTCCAGCTTTGACCAGAGACCCTGCCATTCCTCCCACCCACTCATCCTTCAGTTTCATCCTAGACGCCACTTCTTCCTTGAACCTCCTGACATCTCTCAATCAAAACACTGGGTTAGGTGTCCTCATGTTGCCCCAATTTACTTCTTTCACAGCACTTTTCATACTGGAATTCTTTATTGTTGACACTCCTTGCGAGACTGTCACCTTCTTGAGGACCATGTCTCACTCATCACTGCATTTCTAGGACCTCGGGCCAGAGCTGAATGAGCATGGGTATCAGTTCTATACACTCTAAGGTCCAAATTCAAATCTTTACTGATCACCCAACCTGTCCCAGAGATATCTGCAAATCATATTTTTTTCTTTGCTATTTTTATGTTTGTCTTCAATTTTATTTTGTTGGTTTAGTTTTAGACATTTCCATGTATCAGAGTTTTTCATTTCTTTCATGTCAAAATATTTATGCTTAGTTTATTATTTTATTGAGTTCATTCTCCATTACTGCTGTTATTAGAAACAGTATTTTAATATTATCAAAGGTGAACTCCAAATATTGTGAGTTTTTTCCTAAAATATGTTAATGAAAGATTTCAGTAGTTGGTTCCAAAAACAATGATAGTGATGACAGTAATAATTTTAGAAATAGCAAACAATAATACTTGTGCCAACCATTATTTTAAGTGCTTTTAAACTAACTTAATCTTCATAATCATCCTATGAGTTGAGATAACTCTTCCATAATAGTTTCACAAGTACTATTTTCCCCTCCTTAAGATGTGCAAACTGAGGCATAGTAAGGTGAAGTAACTTGCCCAAGAAACATTCCCAGTAGGCAGCAGACCCAGGAGTCAAGCCAGGCAGCCTGGTTCCACTACCAACACTGCTTCCCATCATGGTCTCTCATCTGGAACCCTCGCGTGCTTACACCAATACACTCTAACTGCAAGTTAGTCCTCAAGAAATGGTCTTCTGCTGAGCCTGGGAAATTATAGCAACCTTAGTTTAGATTTGCATTGTGCTAATTCAAACAGAAGGGCTCCAGGTGCCCTAAAAGGACAGGTAGTAACATCGCGTCTGAATTTTATGATGATGATTGTTCATTCCTGACTATCCTGCTGCTTTTCACAATTTTTCACTGTGATTTAGTCCTCTCCTTTTTCTTGCCTCTTTTGCCCTACTGCTGCTGCACTGGGTAGCTTGGCAGTCCATGAATCCCTGAGCCTTGTCACATCTCTGAGTCTTTGCTTACACCGCTCCCTCTGCTCAGAACACCCATCCCACCTGCTCAGCAGCAACTCCTGCTCAACTCTCGTCTTCTTAGATTTAATCCACTGAACATCTCTTCTAGGAAGTACTTTCTGTTTCCCCAGGGAAGCAGACCAGTCACCTTCTCTTGAACTTCCCTCTGCGTGGATGTCTCACGTCACTATCACATGTTTTTTAATTTATTTATTTATTTTTTATTTTTCCCCCAAAGCCCCAGTAGATAGTTGTATGTCATAGTTGCACATCCTTCTAGTTGCTGTATGTGGGACGCAGCCTCAGCATGGCTGGAGAAGCGGTGAGTCCGTGCACGCCGGGGATCCAAACCCGGGCCGCCAGCAGTGGAGCGTGCGCACTTAACCACTAAGCCACGGGGCCGGCCCTATCACATGTTTTTGAGTTGAAGAGTTAACATGGCTGACCCCATTCATCCATGTGGCAATAACACCTAGCATAGTATGTCCCTCATAGTAGCTATTCAAAAACATTTGGTACTCAAAGTACCACTGCTGTCAAACAGAGAACAATGGAGAAGAATATACTGTAATGACTCTAATATTGAAAATCATCATCTTAAAGCTTTATGCACTGGAGAGAGATTTGGCCACGTAGTTTCTTTTGTTGCCTATCTCCCAGGATTCTGGTAACCCAGCAATTGACCAGATAAGGACTGCTCTCTTTGTACTGTAACATGCAGAGGAAGGAAACTAACTAACTACCCTGTAAGCACTTATTGATCTTGGCTTCTTTATTGGAAAGAAAGAAAAGACCTAAAGTAGACGAGAGAGACCACCCATAACAGGAGATTGGGGGTTCTGTCAAAAAAGCAGACTCCTGGAGGAATGAGAATGCTCCTGAAATTTGACAAATGTTCCCTTCTGTGACCTCATAACATTTGCCAACTACCTCTGAGATGACAAGGCACAACGGTGTCTGCTTATAAAACCTTCTCCTCATGAGCTGCTTCAAAAGTGCTCTGTTTATTTCATCCACATTCTTCCCTGCCCAGCATAGCGAGTTCTCATTTCTACTCCTCTAAGTCTCATACCTCTCCTGATTTTACTTTTAAACCTTAACCTTAACTTTGTCTTTCAACTTTTCAACAAAGTCAACTTTCTCCTCTTCATTTCTAGTTTTGTTACCTTCCATGATGCATCCTATTCATTTTAGTTATGTATTTTCCTCTATTTTAAATAGCTTTCAAAGTCTCCTTCCACTTCTAGCTTTAAGCCTATTCTAAACGTTATTCTTCCTTAAAAAATTCCCTCTGTTTTCTTCTTACCACCACTGTTCTACCACCTACCCCCCTCCTACACAGAAATGACCTTGTTAATGATCTGTAACAAGCAAGCCTGCAATATTGTGAGCCCTGGAGAGTCTACTAATGGGGAAGACAGAGCCTCTCTGACCTCAGCTGTCCCAGCTTTAGATTTTTAGGTACCACAGAAAGGCCATCCTAAGCATGGCGCTTTAAAGAACCTTCCTCCTGGAGGCAGGAGGAATATTTTCCTGGGCTCTGGCCCCAGCAGAATACTATGTTTAATTTTCTGCTACTTAATAATAATACGGGAGTGTTCATACTGAGGCAAAAAGAAACGGGCGCTTGGAACCAGAAGTCTGACAAGATAGACAAGATCTCTGCATTCTAGGGGGGAGATCACAGAAAAGATAGTTTTGGAAGGGTGACTACAAGCTAGGGGGGATTTAGGCTGGAGAGTATGTGGGGGTCTACCTGAGACAAGGTGGTCAGAGAAGGTCCCTCTGATGGGGGTAACATCTCAACTGAGTTTGAAGAATAAGAAGTAGCCAATTATGCAAGAGGCAGGAGGAGAACGTTCCAAGGCTGAGGGAATACAAGTGCAGAAGCCCCCAAGTGGCAGAGTTGGCCTGTGTGATGAGCAGAAAGGTCTTCCCTGCCTCCAGTCACCTGTTAAATGCTCTCAGAGACTCATGCTCCTTTCCTCCAGAGCACCTCTCTTGTGTTAATAATGTATTCATTAGTATTATGTTTTGGTTACTGTCTGCCACTCCCAATAAATTTTAGCAAATATTTCTTGACTACCTACTGGGATATAACAGTGAGCAAAACACAGTCCCTGCTTATATTCGTGTGTGTGTGCACGCGTGCAAACAGACAAAGATCATGAAAACAGGAATGGTTTGTTATTCCTCACCAGTGTATCCTCAGGACCAGCACAGGACCTGGCTCAGAGAAGGCAAATCTTTGTGGAATGAACGCTGTTAAGGAAAGAATGCAGCATACAAACTGCATACGTAATAGGATCTTGAAAATAACTTGGACATAGAAACACACGTGCATATGAAGACAGGAAATATACCAAAGTACTAAAAATGGCTGTCCTTTGATTAAGTTTTATACATACATATATATTTTGTGTATGTGTGTGTGAGGAAGATTAGCCCTGAGCTAACATCCGTTGCCAATCCTCCGCTTTTTGCTGAGGAAGATTGGCCTTGGGCTAACAACGGTGCCCATCCTCCTTGACTTTATATGGGACGCTGCCACAGCATGGCTTGACAAGCGGTGCGTCGTAGGCGCCCAGGATCTGAACCTGCGAATTCCTGGGCCGCTGATGCAGAGCGGCGAACTCAACAGCTAGGCTACCGGCCCGGCCGCCATATATAGTTTTTACAGTACTTATTTCCATTCAATGAAACAAACTTAGTAGATGGGCCTTCAGCTATAGTTTTTGAGCTGCAGAGGAAATCCAGACTAATATTATTTATCGTTCATCTCTTAGAATAATCATTTCTCACTAGGTTTGGCTACCCATGTTTTTTATGTTACTTCGGATATCCCCTCAAATATGATCCAACTTAATGCAAAGGAGGGAACAATGCCAAAAAGCCATTCGGTAACAGAACTGGATGCTGTCTGTACTGGATGGGAACAGGAAGATAGCTTCATGGCAAAAAAAGAAAAAAAAAAAGCAACAGCCTGCAAACGGATACCAATAAGATCTTGGGCAACAAGGAGCCTGTGAACGTCAGGTACAACAGCATGGCGCGCCCTTCCCAAACCCTCTAAAGCCCAGGCCCCCAGAGCCTGCTCTCACCCCAGCGCTACAGGCACACCATGCACTTCCCAGCCCCCTTACAAAGCGAGCAGTGAGCCTCCTTGACCCACACTCGGCGCCGCGGGGCTGGCCACTTCCATAAAGCACACACCCGGTAACACCCGCCGGGGCTTCCGCAGCCCAGCCCAGCGGGGCACAAACACCCCTCTCAACAAGGCACCACCCTGCCCAGGGAACAAGGGCAAACCCTCCCCACGGGCACAGCCCGAGCCCTAGCAACACCCCCGCGCACCCGGGCACTCAAGAGCAAGCCCTCACCGCAAGCAGCGGTCCGCGCGCCCATCCCGACTTGGCTCAGCGCGGGCACCGCCCTGCAAGCTTTGGCCAGGGACGCGGCTTGGCCCCGGTAAACGCCGGCCGCACCCACCACCCCGCCCCGCTCAGTGCCGACCACCAAGCACGCCTCCGCCGCCCGCACTACGCGGTCCTCACCCCCCCGGAGCCCCGCACAGCACCACCCGGGGGGAAGCCTGGCCACGGAGCGCCAACTCCGCACGGCCCGGCTCGACCCAGCCCCGCGCCTCCCACCCGACCCACCGAGCGAGGCTCCCCCGCCCTCGGCTCCGGTCCGCCCGCTCCCCGACCCGCTCCGTTCGCCGCCGGAGCGCACACCCTCTCCAGGCTCCTACCGGAGGACACGGGCAGCAGCAGCACTAGGGCCCCCAAAAGGACCCCAACGAGGCCCCAAGAAGAGAAGTGGCTCTCGGGGCGACAGGGAAGTGCCGTGCGCGGCGCGCAAGACGCCGTCATTTTCGGGGAGATCCGCGGGATTCCTGAGAGACGGCCCAGCGAACCTTCTGGAGTCTGGTTATCAGACACAATAATCTCCAGGCTTGCAGTGTCAAGTCGGAACGGCCAGTGGGCGTGGCCTGTGTCGGGCGGGGCCAATCAGCGGGCTGCAAGGCGGGGCATCGACGCGCGGCGGCGCGTTAAGCCTGGATCTATAAAGACATGGATCCATTCAAGACTCCAGGACCGCTTATTTAGAAAGTGTCAACGCATGTTTATTACCTTAATGAATTCCTAAATGTCATGCTTTCTTAGTTAATTTGGTGTATTTTGAATCCAAACAAAAGTAAGCTAGTTACTTTTAGTATAAAAAAATTATTCTATTTAAATATTAGTATGTTTTTATACAGAGCATAGTACAAAGTGCTTTGGAAATAGAGCTTAAGAAATATCCACAGCTTAATTTTTTCCCAGATATTTCTCTTGACTCCTCTCCTAAAATCATTTCATGCCTTTCACATAAACAGAAGTTACTTTTTTCCTAGAGAAAGTGAAAACTGATGTAGCATAAATTTTACTCCAAAAAGGTCTAAAAAGAGTGGGTTCGGCCCTATCAAAGAAAAAGAAGCTAAGACAGAAAGACATATAAACAGAAATCCTCAGCAACAGCTTCTTCCTTGAAGTAATGGAAACTGTTCACATTTCCTAAGTGCAGTCTTTTCCCCTGACTAGACCGTGTGTGCTTTCAGTACAAGGAAAGAGGGTGAAGGAGTGACAACAATCCAAACTGGGAGGAGGGAGCTTCACCAGATCCTGGGAGAGCTTCAGCATCTTCAAGTGTACATATTTGCATCTCTGTGAAGTCACTTCAAAGATTTTATGAGTCTCAGATCTTCTGTTGAAATAAATTGGCTCCTTTCCAACCAACATTTTAATTCAAAGCGTTCTCCAGCTTTATAGCACACTGTTAAGGAAGGACACTGAAATAACAGGATATTTTGATTTAGATGGCAACATGGTTGACAACTGAACTACCCAGAATTTGTATGCTGATAATCATGATGCTAGCATTACACATAGATTACAAGTTCAAAAAAACTGTTTATTGCTCTCTGTTGTGGTTGCTCTGTTGGGCACAAGAAAGTATGGCATAAACTGAGACACTGAGTAGGTAAAGAGAGATTAATATAACTTGACGTTTCCTCATTGCTCTTTTGCCAAAGGAAAAGTGTTCTCAGAGTTGAACAACTAAACCAAAAGAGCCTTGTTCCAGAAAACATACAAGTCCCTCATAACAAAAAAAATATTTCCTTGAGTCTCTTTTCCAAACCATGGATGTGACAGGGGACCGTAAACAGGAGCTGGTGGTTTGGAGGAGGGTCAGCTTCAGATAGCATGTCCTCCTCCCATAATCACAGTCAAGATGCAAAGAAGGGTTGTACACTCCAAGATATCCCAATGCTTCCTTGGCCACGCTGAAGCCTCTCTTCTTCCTTAAGGAGAAGGCTTCGGCATGGCCTCTCTCGTTAAGGAAGACAGGTAGAGAGGCTCCCTTTCTACCTCACAGGACTTCCCCACATCGTCTGTTACCTGCCTCATCTTTGAACCGTCCCATGCCCTTCAGCACACGGCTGTGTCTTTGGAGTCTGCTTCTTTACCTGCATCGCCCTCTCTGCCCCTGTGCCTGGCCTGGGCACACAGGTCTTAAGCTTGGTACAGACTCTAGCTCATTCCTCATCTACCATATGTTACCACAAATGCCTAACCTTGCTCCTGTGGAGCAGTGTGGTCAAAATTCCAATCTTAAAAGAGAAATTTGAGACAAATTCATTAAGAACTTCCTCCTTTTATTAAAAGGTGGTCAACAGAAAATGTATACAATTTGAGATGTACCCTGATGTTTCCAAAAAGGTGAGGATAAATGAAATTTTGATAAATCAATTCTCAAATATTGACTGTACACTTCTCATTTGATTAGGTCTGTACTCAGAAATTTTGGCAAATTTGAAAAGGGGGAGCCATCCCTGACGGTCTAGTGGTTAAAGTTTGGTGCTTTCAACGCTGCGGCGGCCCAGCTTTGGTTCCTGGTCGCAGAACCATACCACTCACCTGTCGGTAGCCATGCTGTGGTGGCAGCTCACATAGAAGAACTAGAAGGACTTACAACTAGAATATACAACTATGGACTGGGGCTTTGTGGAGGAAAGAAAGAAGAAAGGGGGAAGATTGACAACAGATGTTAGCTCAGGATGAATCTTTCCCAGCAAAAAAAAAAGGTCACCTTCTCTCTGATGCTTAAAAGAATTTAAAAGGGGGTCCTTACTCTTAAGTTAATTTGGCATGGGAAAGAAAACACATAATCACAATGTTTGGTACATTATAAGTGACTAATCAATCTTCAAAGAATGAATGAATGAGCAAGTGAATGAATACAATAATGTTAATAGGCAGAAAACAACACATGAAATGTTGACTCTTATGGGATGTGTATAGATATAGCTTTTAATGATAGTGGAAATGGTAGTCATTTGGTGACATAAAAACAGAACTTAATATTATACAGACAATGTAATCTGAAGGTACAACCCTGCAAATGTAAAGTGATATGCGAAGAGGCTTAAGAATACTAAGCACTGGGTGGAGGCTTATTTATGTCTAATAGCTTGTTTATGGAGGTAATTTTAATATTCTTTATATTTTTCTGTAATTTCTGTATTCTCAATAATGAGCACGTATTACTCTTAAAAGCAATGGTTTATTTAAAAAATGGTACAGACAGGAAGTGCTGTGAGTTCCACAGAGACGTCCCTTTGGACTGGAGTTCTTCGGGAGAGCTCCTGGGAGAGTGAATCTGAGCTGGGTTAATGCAACTTGGATGGGAAGAAAGATGGCAAAGTGTTTTCGGCAGGTAACCTGGCAGGAATGAGGTGAAATCCAGTGATATGGAATATTTTTAGGTGAACTTTTGTAAAGACAACCATTGCCCTCACAGCCTGCTGCTGTTGTGTCTGGTTATATGTGGTGGCGGCACGGCCGGCTGTGAGTCAGTTTTGCACAGCTTTTCCATCATAGACCCCACTAGTAAAGGGAAGTGAATGCATCGCCCTAAGAGCCTTGGAGGCAGAACTTAAAGCATCCCTGAAAGCACAATATTCTGTCTGATTTTATCTTGAAATGTCCTGCATTATTTGCCTTCTGCTCCCTTATCTATGTGTTTGTGTTAATATAGAAATAATGCTATTTTCCCTTCGAACTATTGGAATAATGTTAGAAAAAATGTTCTCCTAGGAAGCCATGCCATTTTCACTCAAGACTTCTGTATCGCCTTGGTAAACCAGCCACACATCCCCAGACATATGCAAACGCCCCTCTGAGAAGGATCAGGCTAGATGATTATTAAACCTTCAACAAGTAAATTACCAATTCTCAATGTTTAAAAAGCAATGCACATTTCATTTGCTTTCATAAACAGTCATGAAAAACAAGCTATTAGACAGAAGCAAAGGGAGCAAAAGCCAGACAATAAATATAGGGCTTTGTATGTTCATATCGTTTTAGGAGAAAATAGAACATAATCTGTATTTGTGTTGCTTGGAAAAACTTGAATTGCCTACATCTTGGTTAACTCTCCAATGCCTCTCCCAACCCCTTAGCTTTTTCTGTGACCACTTCCAATGTACTCTGTTGAATTTTGGATTTCTGACATGTGTGTAGATATGAAATGCCAGGTTTCTGTTAATGCACATTGATGTGGGAAAGAGGTAGGACACAAATAAAGGAAATTTACCAAAAATGTGGGGTTTTTTTTATTCTGCTTTCTACAGGAGAGGCCTAATCTCTTTCGAGGGCTTTTGATGCTGTTGTTTCTGACAATTCCCTGAGGATCTTCTGGATGGGAATTTTAGGACTCCCAGGCATGGCCAGAGTCAGGAAGGCCCAGGTGAACTGCTCTGTATGATAAAGAAAAATGAAGTTCTGAATTTACAAGAAAACCCAGAGTGGAAGTGAGGTACCCTGAGAGTGCATTAAAGGTTTGAACAAAAGGGACAAGTGTCTAACGTGAGAGAGGCCTGGAGAAAGGCTGGAACGCCAAGGCCTAAAGAGGGACCAGCAGTGAGAAGATCCTCACAGTGTGACAGGGTTCAGGGGTCAGCAAACTTTTCCTCTTAAGGGCCAGAGAGTAAGTATTTTGGTTTTGTGCGCCGCACAGTCTCTGGGTCTCTGGCATCTACTCGACTCTGCTCTTGTAGTGTGAAAGCAGCCACAGACTGTAAGTCAACGACTGGGCGTGGCTGTGTCCAGTAAAACTTTATTTTCAAGAACAGCTACTTTTCAGTTCAGTGATTTCTAATATTCAATTCTGTGTTGTGTGCCACTTGGGTTGAAGTATAATTTCCCTTTTCACCCCAAACTTTTAGCAAACAGCTAAACGTTTACTACACAACAGCTTGTGGTAAGGCTGCTGTGGATAGGTGGAATGAGGGGTAAGGAATGGGAACCAGTCCAAGTGGAGGAGGAGAGAAAGGAGAAGCAGTCACAGGAGGCTGGGTGAGGTGGAGAATTCCGTGAAAGTGGGAAAGCAGGGGAGGAGGTAAAGCCAAAGTCTGCCCAGGGTCCCTAAGAGATGCTGCACATCTAAGGGGAGCTGGAGGCCTTGGAGGCACACCCACGTGGCAAACGCTTGGGTTCCACCAGAAAAAGAAAAGCTTGCTACTTCTCAAAGGTTCACAGCATAAATGCACAAAAATATAGGGAGGCTTTGAAAAAACAGTGCCTGTGCACAGCACTGACGGAGTCATCACCCCAAATCACTGGAAACAACATAATCCAAGAAAAAACAAGGCGTGTGCAGCTCCTGAAGTACTTTCTAACTTCTTTGGTATCAATGATCTGACTAGTGCAATATCATAGTCAAATCCTGTTTCCATTTTTGATATTTCAGTTGTTGAAAACATTTTGAATTCAATATGTGTTAGGTACCTGTCATTTTCCTGATTTGTTTGCAGAGTTTGAGGATGAACACAGCTGCCTTCTGGGGATGTAAATGGATAATAACTTCTTTAGATTTTTCATCTGTATTATTGCTAAGTGGTAGAGGAAAAAAATTGGAAAATAATTATGTAAGTTTCAATCACTTCCTTAGATTTTTTTTTTTTTTTGCTGAGGAAGACCAGCTCTGAGCTAACATCTATTGCCATTCCTCCTCCTTTTTTGCCGTTTTTCTCCCCAAAGCCCCAGTAGATAGTTGTATGTCATAGTTGCACATCCTTCTAGTTGCTGTATGTGGGACGCCACCTCAGCATGGCTGGACAACCGGTGCATCAGTGCGTGCCCGGGATCTGAACACCGGGCCGCCAGCAGCGGAGCATGCACACTTAACTGCTAAGCCATGGGGCTGGCTCCCCTTAGACATTTCATCTGTATTTTCGCTAATTGGTAGAGGAAACAAATAGGAAAATATCTTAATTATATGGTTCAGTTTTGAAAGAAATTAGTAGCTTTCATTTTGAAATTTAGGGCATAATTTGCCTCAAGTTTCTGAAATCTTTGCAAGATATCTAAAAGCAAATACATAACCATATCCCACCTTTCAAGACTAATAAAAACAGATTAGAAAATAATACTAAATAATACTATCTTATACATTGTGTCAGAAGACTAAATTGCTTATAGACAAGTTTCCATGCCTTAAAGCAACACATTTCACTATTTTCAAAGAAATTTTGATTAGTAAATATTGTTTACCACAAGACTGTGACATTGAAGCTTCACAATATAAGTAGCTTTGCACCACAATCTTAGACGAGGCTCCCCTTTTCCCCTTATACTGAAGATACAAGTTCTGTTTTCTGTACAATTAATACCTACAGTTACGAGAGCAGCACTAGCTGTCATGAAGGTACATGAGAACTGATAGTAACAGAAAGTATTTAATTACTTTTAAATGTCTGCTACTCTGTGGGTGTTATTTAATAAGCACTTCATTTTACATAAATGAAATAATAAATAAAACAATACCAGTACCTTTAGATTTCAGGTATGCATTGGATTTAGAGATTTAAGAATGGAAACACAAAGAGCTAACTCACTCAACCCCTTACCAGTACCTCCTCATTACTCAGTCACTCTTTACCCACCAGGGACATTAGAAAGACAGCACCACTTGAGACAGAGGAAGACTGTGAGTCAGGAGCCAGTGTTCACAGCATGAGGAAGTGCAAACTTGAGATCCACGCATGAGGCAGAGTAGAGGGTTGTGCAGCCAGGTGGCACGGACTTCCAAGGAGCAGTGACTAAGTGGTTCCAGGAGGAATGGCCTGAAAGTGGCCGTGGATGATGAGCGGTACATGGGGTGTGAGATACCACCCTAGTGGATGCTGAAGGAATGGCTATCCAGTTGCTTAATGGTGGTTAGTGCGGACACAGGGTAATGCAGGGAGGCTTTACAGAGAGTGGATGTAATAGTGTTGTCACTCCAAGCATCATACCAGTGACATCTTTAAAGTTTTATCTATGAACAAGAAGGCTGTTTTGTATAGAAATGGGAATGGATGAGAGGCAGAAACAAGAGGCAAGGATAAATGGGCTCTGAATGGAGGAGGCCAATGGTATTATTCCTCAGTGATCAGTGCAGACTTATCTTGTTTAATGTTTATCATGAATTATTGAAGTAGTAAATAGATAGTGAAATATCAACTGAGCAGATAACAGCATGTTTGTCACTAGTGAAATGTCAAGCCAGTGAGGTTAAATCACAGAAAGAACTTGCAAGTCTGTGTGAACCGACAGGAAAGTTTTCACTAAACCTTAACATGGACGGAGGCCCTTATAGAAATATTGTAATCTTCTTATAGGTTAATTACACTGAACAGAGTACAAAAGGAGAGATTGCAACTTCTCTAGAAGAATACTCCCTCAATATACCAGAGTAGCTAAAACAAGCCCAATAAAATAGAGGGAAAGAAAAGAATACTGAAAGAAAAAAGGAAATATTCCAGATTTATAATATATGCGGTTTAGGATACTGAATTTCAGTGATGTAGAATCAGACTCCGAAATGGGCAACTAAAATTATCAATGGAGTTGCCGAATGGGTTCAAGACCTTGAGTCAGTTAATCAGGACTAAAGCCCTAACTCTTAACAACGTCCTACTGGTATGATTTTAAACAAGTCACTGAATTTCTCTGCACCTCAGAATCTTCTCTGCTTTGGGATAATCACATTGTCAGGCCTACCTACCTCACAGAGTTGCTTTGAGGACCAAAGAAGACGCTAAATGGTAAAGCATCTTGTAAACAAATATGTTAGCTGTTGCTATTCTTATTATTAATCTTGACTACTGTACACGTGAAGATCAGAAATCACTAAATAAAAATTATTTTGAGTGCCTGCAGGTGGTCCTCGCTCACAAGGAGCTCATTGTCTGGGAGGGGGATGGTGAGGACTGTAGTGGAGACCAAGACCACAAGAGATCATTTAATAGCGTGTGACAAAGCCCACTGCGGAGGAGAGGGAGGAAATGCACAGACATCCTAAATCTGCAGAACCTGAGGATTGAGGAGCCATATGAAATCATCAGTAATGTGATATAAGTCTAAAACAGACTTGCTCACCAAGTTCAGTGTCAGGATCCTAAACAATGAGCATCCTTGAAACCTGGGGTAAGTTTAGGAGAAATCAAAGACGGACTATTTGACTTGGTAGAGAGTGTGGCAGAACTCCCTGAGGGGAAGAGTGGCAGTTATATCCGTGAGAGTCCTTCAGTCTCTGGACATCACACACCCGGGAAGATTTCACTGACTGATCACAGCCCTGCTTTCTGCTGGGTCCTAGACACCACCTCAGCTGCTGACGAGTATTTGTAGCTGCTATTTCCCCTGCTAACACCCATTCCTGGCCACTTCTTTCCTGCTCCCCTCTCTCAACAGGGCATAAAACATTAATCTCCTTTTTTTTCCAAACACATAAGCAGTTTGAAGATTTACTAAGAAATTAAAACGAGACAAAAATAGAAAGAATACACACACAGAAATGATCTCACTTTAAAACCCTCCTCACGAGGCCCACTCTAACCATCCTATTACAGATTGCATCCACCTCACACCCACATTCCCAATCTGTCTTACTCTGCTCTATTTTTTTATAGCTTTTATCCCCTTTAATATAATGAATGAATGAATGAATGAATGAAGTGTGTTGTTTATAGTCTCTCTCCCTCCACTAGAATGCAAACTCCAGAACGGCAGGGATCTTTGTCTATCTTCCCTGATGGATACATAACAAGCTTTAGTACTGTCCCTGGCACAGAGAGGTGCTCAGTAAATACTTACTAAATGAAATGCGTGTGCTAAACACCACGTAAAAGTGTTACCACCAAAGGAAACATGGATAGTTTCTGAATTGTCTCCTGCATCAGAGGTAGACTTCAGCCTGCGCCCTTCCAGGCGTGGTTTCATTCTGCGTCTCCCCCAGAGCAGGCCATCTACACTCTTCTGTCTCTGTCAGTGTTTTTGGCTCTGAGATAAACTGGTCTTCTAAAGTCCTCTCCTCTCTTATATCCTGTGTCTCTCACGTGGCTTCCTTCTTCTTTACTGTGAGGACCTTTATGCGCTTCTCTTGCGGTGAGGACAGCTTGAGCTCCTGATAAGAATAATCAGTCCTCTCCAGGTAGCTGCATCTGCTTAGTTTACCAGCTTCACCCACACGAGCACAAGCACAAATGACTACACGATTAATCAGCCCAGCTGCTTCTAGAGAAGGGACTTCTGCATTCTGTTTTGTTAAGCTTAGTACCTCCTCTCTGTAATTTTTAGTTATGTGTTATTTCTAACATAAAAATAAATGGCACTTTGTTATAGCAATCCACTTATTATCCCAAAAAGTAAAACAGGCCAAAAATAAAAGTTTAGAAAATGTTTTGAAATGTTCATGGGATTACACATATATGACAGGTTTAACTGTGGCTTACTTAGATGTTTGGGAGGTTTGTTCCCTGACCTTTAAGGTTAAAGAGGATCGTGATCTTTTCCTGCCACATCCTGGTTGCCACTGCTCAGAGAGAGAATGGTTGTGCCGTGGACTTTACACTTTTAAAGAACAGGAAAAAACAGGAGGCAGGTTTAAAGACATGGAATACATGAAGAAATGGTGTGTGATCTGAGGTTATTTACATAAGACAAGATAATCATCTCTGAAGAAATAATTTTTATGAAATGGTATTGAATCTACGCCTCAGGATGACTAATAAGAGGAAATGATCTTAAATTACATGGGTGAAACAAATCCATAGCTAGTCTTGGGAATTTGATCCTTCAGTTGATTAATAAGGAATAGACTGTAGGGATGAGGAAGGAAGTAGTTGGAAAGCCGAAGGTGGAGGATCACCGTGAATATCTCTAAGAGGAAGAGAGAGTCATTTGCCCTGGGTGTTTTTAATGGGAGACTCGTACAGAAATAGAAAGGTAGAAGCCCCAACTACTTTAATTCAGCCTTAATTTCTTAAAAAGTCTAAAATTCATAAATTATAATGATACTAAATGAAAAACTTTAAGGGGAAAATGTTATTGACACAAGGACTTTTACTAACGAAAAGTATTAGGCTACTTTCATTTTTTTTTGTAATGAAGAAAAGCAAAGTGTATTTACATGTCAAGCCAAAAAATATAGAGACATTAGTTAGGAACGATAAAGATTTAACTTAAATTGACATCTCCTAATTATTTTATCATGGAATTGAGTTCCTGACTAGATTGTTTGTAAGAAGTTCTGCTGTGATATTCTGCTTTAAAAGTTTATTTTGGCATCCTCTGTGAAATTTCAAAACGTCAATTTCTGTAAAGCTTGTTGTAGGAGACTGCCTTTGTTTAGAATGTTTGCTATAGAAAACTGTTCACCTAAAGTTATAGACTGTTTCTCATGGGTATAGAATTTGCTTCTGAAGCTTGTAACATTAATCTCATTAACTTCAATCTCACTGATTTTGTTCTAATTAAACCAACTAGTACAGAAGCTGTGTGTGTTCTCTTCCCAGTCAAGAACGTTTCTCTATTTAGATCTTAATCCTTGCAAGATTTCTGCAAGTTTAAAAAGTAAATGGTGTTTATAAAAGATTTGTTTATTTTTTCAGTATCCAATGCAAAGCTTCAATTCTTCCACACTGGCAGCCTGTGACGTGTGCCAGTGGGACCCACTATCTAACTTCTAGAGGGCTGACAGGGTCTGTGTATAGAGGTCGGAGTCTGGAATGTCTCAGCAAAATTGGGATACCAACGGCCTCCTCAACACCTTTGTAAAAATTCCTTCTGCCCATTTTCCCTTTTGTATAACTCAAGTCCTTCTTAAAATTCTGAGCTTTTAAAAAATGTGTTCTTAGTATCATATATATTTCTTTTAGTGTGAGTACATCACTATCCATAATGTGCATTAAGGGCTTTCTCCATAAGAATTACTACATCTGTTTATGTGGTAGTGGGTTTTTTTTGTTTGTTTGTTTGAGGTTTTCTTTTACTTCTCTTTGGCTTCCAAGAGGAGGAAAGTACAGTAATAAACATTTCCTAGGAGAATATGGCTGTACTTAGCTTTTTTTGTGCTTTAGAGCTATCCAACAGAAAACAATGATGGGTACAAAAAAGAAGATCATACCAGAGAATGTGCCTAGGTGGTAAAACAGGTCATTAAATGCACGGAGAATATAACCCCAAGGTTTTAAACTCTGTCTTAATATCTAGTCCCACTAGAGGTTGCCAATGATTTTTTAAAATTTAACTACAAAGTCTGCTTTAAAAAACACCCGTCACAGGCTCACCTTTAATGTTTCCCCTCTGCTCCTGGTTTAATCTAGCGCATCAGTCTTACCACCATAGGGTTATAGATAAGGGGTGAGCAGAGCAGTTTTGTGACCCTTAGTCCAACAGCAGCCTTTCAACAAGTAGGTGTTAACGGCACTGGAGGTCCTGGGCTCCAGCTCTCCCTGGCCCAGTAGACGTCTCTTATGGAAGGCAGAAAACAGGAGCCATTTTACACAACAGATTCTGCTAATTCCCTTTGAAGCAAACTCTATCACAAAACTATTTCTCTTACACAGGCAGATCACAGAAATGGGCTTAGAAAATGGTCTTTGGGGTTTTGAATTTGTGCAAATGGGTGAGACTACCATCCTGAAGAAGGTTATAAACAAAAGAGGAAGTTGCATTCTCCCACCACATTAAAATAAGAAGAATGATGGTTCATTCGTAATGGTTCAAATACTATAGAGCCTTTGATAAAGGCACTCATTCTATAGGCGTATGAAGATACCAGTTTTGCCACACCATGGCCTAAATTCATCGTTATTTTCTTTCTAATTGAAACTGGAATATAAGATATTTTGATCCCTCTTTTTTACATTTCATTCACTGTAAGTGGATACTTACTGTTAAAGATGCTAGAGTTCCTCAGCAAATCCTTCATAAAACTCATCAACTATAAGAGCATCACGTGGGCCCAATAGGAAGACAAAAGCCACAAAAACATCAGCGGAGCACACAACATGATGGGAGAGGAGCTCTCAGCCAGTGACCATTCATCCTGATTTTTTTCAGTACACGATCTAAATTTTTTCTAATATAAAAAATCATTGGTTGTACTCATAAAATCTCATTTTATCTTGTACACTCTGTGAAGTCTGTTTTTTTCTTTCTAACTTAATATTTCATCATAAAAGCAGTACAATTGCAGCAGAAAATTTACAAAACAGAACAAAAGAAATATATCACCTATAATCCCACCACCCTGAAATGTTTTGGTACATTATCTTCTGGTACATTTTCCCGTGTATCTAAGTTTTTGCATAGTTATACAATAGAAATGCAAATTATGACAGAGGCAAACTAACGTAAACTATTCTAGTGGATGTATCACAGTGTAGTCCAAGATTTCCATTGTATATTTAAGTTGTTTCCAGTTTTATTTGTAATTAAACCCTTGATAAAAATGTGTGAAATATTTTTCATATTTTACATTATTTCATGAGATTGGATTCCTAGGGGGGCTAATTGGCACAAATATTTGTTTTTCTTCTCATACATTGCATAATTGTTTTTCATATGGTTTTCGCCAATTACAATGCTACCTTCAACATATGAGGATATCAGGTTCATCACATATTGCTTTTTACTGGGTGTTCACATAAGAACTTTTTTTGTTGTTGTTAATTTAATGGGCAAAACATGGCACCTTGTTCTTTTCTTTTGCATTTCTTCAGTTTTAGTGAGATTAAAAAGTTTCTAGATATTTATGTGCCAGCGTAAACATATATTTACACCCTTTGAAGCAATCCTGCATTCCAAGACAGCGTCTACACTGCTCCTCTTTCAGTGTTGTGTTGTGTTGTGTTGAACTGTGCAGAAGCAACTCCATTTACCTTAGAAATGTCATGGAGACTTTTGTGAGCAGTAGAACACAGACAAGCCGACTTGAGCTGGAGCTTTTGAGAGACAGTCTGGGTGGAAGAGAGAGAAGCTAGGTTCTAGGAAAGCAGTTGCTTCAATGAATGGAACCCTGGGGGACAGAAATGGATAAAGTGGATTTTAGGACATTTGTATGAGTGTCATATAGTGTAATCCTTCTCTGAGCCTCTTTAGGAGATTCCAATAAAGTCTTCTCTTAGTTTTTATATTATTTCTGGAGTTCACTTTATTTAGCCATCAAGTAATACTATGCTGTGTTAGTCTTGAGACAGCACAGTTAATGTGGGTTTTATGTATTCTTAGCAGCATGTTCTGGTCTTAAGGGGGAGCTCAAGATCACCCCATACTCTGAGGAAGATGTTGATATGTGTCAGGCCTCTGGCATAATTGAGCCATTGAAATAGGGGTTGCGGTGGATTTGAGTATTCCAAGAAATTCTTAATTCTGTGATGCTAGCGTTTAAAGGTTCCTTTCCCTATTGGATTGCTATTCTCTCTCAAAACTCCCTATGGTGTGTTATTTCAAGCCTGGAACACCTCTCCAATCTATTTCCCCAGCTTCCTTTTTAGGAAAGCCTAGGACTGGTATTTTGAGCAATCTGTTTTAAGCCTTAGAGGAAAATACTGTCTTTTTTCTCTGTTTTCCATGGTCTGACCTTTCTTTACCTCTTCTCACTGCAGAGTGGTAAGATTTCAAGGACCAAGATTAGGTAAGGTAAAGAGACTAGGAACAAGAGTGCAAGGGGACATGCTTTTAGTCTGGGTCTGAGTCCAGAGGGACCAAAGGAGTTCATGTGTGGTCCAGCCCAATTCCTGAGGAGTCTACACTAAAGTCTGAGTTCCAGGAATCAGCTGGTTGATAGTTATTTGGGTAATTCTAATACTTTGTCTATATCTCCTTCATGACTAAAGAACTGCTTATTGTCTGGTGTGTGGGACCTTGGCCTAACAGCTTTCCATTTCATCATGTCTAATACTGGAATTTTCTCTTTTGTTGAATTGTGTATTTAAGGTCTTCGTCCACTGTTTTACTGATAAAGTACACAGGCTTTACAGATAGGTAGGTTGCCTGGTGGGACACAGGCTATCCCATTTTGTGGTCTAGGGCAAGTTACCTAAACCATGTGTGTCTCAGTTTCTGCATCTATAAAATGGGGGTAATAAAAGGACTATCCTCTTCATAGGTTTCTGTGTGCATTAAATTAGAATCTCTGTATCTAAACTTTGGACAGTGGTATTAAGTGCTCAATATAGGTTAACTTTTACAACTATTACTACCACAACCACCACTACTGCTATTGTTATAATAATAGTATTAACCCTTCATCATGTTTTTCACATGTCTCCCATCTGTTTACTGCCTGCATATTTACTTTTTGAAGTACATAAGTTCTAAATCATATTTGTTATCCTTTTAAGATTTTCTCTATTATTCAAAGATTTTAAAAAGGTGGCCTTCTTCTAGCTGTTTGATAAATATTCTTTTTTTTTAAATTTTAGTTTTTTTATGGTTTGAGTTTCCAAACAGCTGAAAAGAGAATAGAATTTTGCTCTTATCTTCAAGAAAACCTTCCCAAGGTCTTAGTGTATATAATTAATCCTTGAACCGTTCCCTGGATCTTCATACTTGTTTATGTAATGAAAGCAAAGAGGGGTGAGCTTTCCAGTGTCTGCAGAGCCACAGAGATTCTGTAGTTTGTGCTGTCCATTCTTGGAAATAAACACAGGATAGTCACTTACCATCTCTGTGCTGGGCCTCATTTTCTCTGTCTCTAAAATTGGAGGGCTCTGAGGACAAGAAGGATTTCTGAGATGTTTAGGTTGGGGAGGGCCCTATGAGCCTGTAATGGAAACAGCTATAGGACTAACTGCTCCTTAACATTAGAACCACAGGCAGGTCTGAAATCCCTCCTCCCTCATCACAGCCCAAAGCCTAGTATTTCTAAAAAGAAAGAGAAGAAGAGAAAAGAAACAAACAAAGCAAAATCACTAATTTATAGTTTTGCAAAGTAAAAGAACCACATTTAAAAGGAGACAGTACACAGTGCCATGTTCAAAAGCAGGGGCCGAGCAGGGCTCTGATCCTGGCACCACCACTCGTGAGCTGTGAACCATGGACTAGTTAATGGATCTCTCTAAACCTCAGTGTCCTCCTCTGGAAGATGGCAAGAAGAATAATCCCACCTCATCAGATTCTTTTGGAGACTACCACAAAGAATTTTTGTAAAGACCTCAGTACCAGGCCTAGTCACACAATATTATTTTTATATCCACATTTTGTAGCTGTTGAGAATAATGCTAACAAAGATTTTTAAGTCAGATGCCATTTTGGCAAACATAGACAGGAATAAAGGAAATAATTCCTGGGGACTTGTTCCAGGGAAGAGATGAGATAAACACCTCACCTTTGGGCTTGGAGATTATAATGAGGTTCCATGTCTAGTAATTCTAGGAATTAATGCTCTTGACCTTGCTCAGTTTTCAATTTTTCTCACAACAAAATTGCTTCTAGTCTTCTATTGACCTTCTAAGGTATTTGTGAGCACCACCTGTGACCCTCTGAGGTCCTTTAGAGCTGAAATTTTTTACTAGTTAAAAGTCCATAAATAATTTAAATTGGTGTTGGATGTCAGTTGTATTACTGGAAATTCCATCTGTTCTTCCTACTTATTCAGTAGAATTGAGGATCCTTCCTTCTTTTTGTTCTGCTCTTCTCCTCCTCTGTTGATACCCATTTCATGACCCTCTCAGAAATGACCTCTCAGCCTTCTTAGCTCATGCATCAATTTTCCATGAAAACCCAGCTAGAATAAGAAATACCTCTGCAATGGTGATCAAATTGGCTCCAGCTTCCCTGGTGTGTACAGAAAGTGAAGTCCTTTCCCACCAACAGGGTAGCCTGGGTCACGAGTGTAGGTGACAGTCATCCCAGGAAGATATGCAGATGCATGTCCTCCAATATGATGCCCGTTGTGGATCTTCGGTGGATGTGGGCATGCTAAGAACAAGTTCCCCCAAAACATAAGGAAAGACATTCAGTTAGACAAAGAAATGTGAACATGCCAACACATCTATTAGTATCTCTGGCTGTTGTAGCCACAGGAGGACCCAAGGCAGGCAGGTTCCCAAATACTAAACGGTTTCTGATCCGTGGGAAGACCAATTCTCTAAATCCATACCTTTCAACCTTTATATTGGATGATCTATATTGTCTAACTGTAAACTGCCCCAGATGGGAGTTCCACCGAGATCTACAGACTACTAGTTCAACACTGCCTGTCCTCACTGGAGGATGGAGCTCGTGTGGGCAATCACAGCCACAAATGAGCCTACAGTTGTCAGGCACTGTCATTTAAAGCCAGACTAATACATAAGAGGAATGAGCTACAGAGGCCAAGAGCACAACCTTGAACTCCACTTCTCCAGGGCGTCCTGAGTTCCCTTTGTTAAAGACAAGATAAAGGGTCAAAAAAATACAGTCACTAGTTGAGCAGAACACTTAGAAGTAAGAAAAGGAGATAAATGCCTATATCAGAGTTTCTTTAACTATTTCTATGGCATTATCAATTCTGAAGTAAATTACTGCCATCAACACGTATGTTTTGCTCTCTACCTCCATCTATCTAGTATGAAGACAACTAGTAGTAGAGATGGCATCACAGGGCATTTTGTTTGGCATTTGTTTTCAGTGCTTTGTAAATATTCTCTATAAAATCTGGGCCTCACTGATTCCACTCTCCACTCCCTCCTCTCCTCACCATCCCGCAGTCCTCACCCCAGTGGGGTCATCAAAATACCACCAACTGGGACACAGTGTGGCTCATCTAGAACCCGTCTGTTATTCACTCGACAGGTAATTCTGTGTCTGACATTCATAACATAGCCATTTTCACAAGCAAAAATGACTGTCACTATAGAAATATGGAGGTTGTCGCCTAGACATTCTGATCCATCTGGAGTGTGGGGAAATGTGCACTGACCAGCAGGACCAGAAAGTTCACAGCGAGGGGCAGGGCCTCTCCAAATCCCATTCCCTTGACTGTCACTTTTGCAGCGGATGGGTCTCTCCCCAGTGAGGTTGAAGGTCATCCCTCTGTCTGGGTGGGAGTCACATATGTAAGTAATATCTTTTCCATAGGCAATGTCTCCCAGAGAAGTTCCTGTGTAGTTCCTGTTAAGGATAGCCGGAGGATTTGGACAAAAAACATCTAGAAGGAACACAAGAGCATTAGGTCCCATTAGAGTTTCCACCAAAATGATTATACAATAATGGAGCACTTCCTCCTTCTAGAAACTCCCAGATGCAGCTTTCTCCTATTCCCCTCCTACTTCTCTCATCGCTTGTTCTTCTCTGGTCTCCTTCAGGCTCCTGACCTGCTTCTGGACCTGCCAGCAGGGTTGCCCCCCACCGCTCAGTCCTAGGCACCTTTCCTCCCTGTTGGGTGGCCTTTCCCTGGGGGTTTTGGCCACTGTCAGGGCTTGAGCTGTGCCCCATATTCTGAGGACACCTCCATCACCTGTGGGTTCCAGATCTACATTTCCAACAGTTTACATCCTTGCTACTGAAAGTATGGTGTGGGGACAAGAAGCATGGGCATTTCTTGGAAGCTTGTTAGAATCACGGACTCCCAGGATCCACTGGGACTTCCTAAACCAGGATCTTCAGTTTATCAGGATCCAGATGATTCACGCACATGTTAAAGATTAGAGAACACTAGTCTATCTGATCCATGTGGACACCCCACTGTAGTTCAAGCTCAACATTTCTAGCCTGAAGGCAGACTCTTCCTCCAAACCATGAATTTCTTCTTTGTTTTCTATCCTAGTGAACAGCTTCTGCCAGTGTATGCAGGTGGGGGATGAGCTGGGGGGGGGCGGGTCAACATCTCCACCATGTGGCTGCCTCAGAAAAAGATGATTATACAACAATGGTGCCCTGGGACTGTGTCATGAATAATTTTTTTTCCTGTGGAAAAATAAATTAGTAATATCTTGGTTTAGAAAACACTTTTCTCTATCAATTTCTGAATCTTTAGTATGTTTTATTTAAGTGGATGGTTTTGAAATTTAGGGCATATCAGCTCATCATTTCAAATGTTGACTCACTTTCCTGATCCACACTGACTTATCATTAACTCTGCTTTATTTTCTCTATAACACTTACCACTTTTTAACGCACCCTTTTAGATATTCTAGTTTTTATTTGTTTACCTATTTACTTTCTTGTTCATTGTTGCCTCCCCAAGTGGAAAATGAACTCCATGAGATCAGGGATAAGACTCTCCTGTTCAGTCCTCTCCCCACATGGAAAGTCCTGGGCCACGGAAGCCCTTCCTCAGTAAATACTGTGGACTAAATAACAGGCTGAATAAATAGTTTAGAGATGTGGGGGATAAAAGGACATAAACATCTAAGAAAGGTCACTTGTCGATGGCGAAACTAAAAAATAAATGATTACGCAAGTTTTGTGTACATTTATGTCATCTAGTTTTCCCCCACATATTCCCCACAAAAGTCAACACTGGCATTAAACTAGTGACTTATGGATTAGTCACATAAACACATGATGTATAAGACCTATAAGACTCCTTTGAAATTCTTCCAACAAAGAAGTATTTTATCAGTAATTTACTTAAGATCCAGACAACAGGTGATTCTGAAAGGGAAAACACACTGGCAAAAAAAAAAAAAAAAAAATAAGGGGAATATCCAGGCTGCATAGTTGTTCCTTCTACTCATGCTCACAAACAGGAACACTGCTGCTCCAAAGGTTTTTCATTCCAACAAAGACACAGTGACTAGCGGAGCTGCCTTTTAATTGGAACCTGAAGAATACAGGAAAATAAGGGGGACAGATGGGTGAGCAATTCCCATCTCTCCCTTCATCTCATCACTGATCCATGCTCAGCTTTCTCACTTCAGCCTAAATACCATTTGGTTCTTCGGTTCAGGCCCAGCTAAAAGTCTCAGTTCATTAGGGACCTGAATTCAGTAGCGGGCAGAAAATCAGACGCCAAATTATTCTAAAGAATCACAGTATCCTATGATGGGCAAAGCTATCAGAACTTGTACTCTTAATAGTCATACAGACATCATAGCCCAGTGTCACCTACGGAGGTCACTGAACACAGGCTACACTCCATCCTGTTCTCTAGCCCCACACCCATCTCTCACTGACAGTTCTCTGACACCTTACTTATTCTCATTAGTGGGTCATGAGGAAGAACAGCTCTCGATCTGGGTGAGCAAAGCAGAGAACATCTGGAAAGAGAACAGCAGTGTTCTTCTTGCCACGACATTTGCAATGACCAGAAAGAGGCTCACAGGAGCATAGAGAACCAGATGTTCTAGGAAAAAAAGAGGGATGAGAGGAGGAGTCTTTGTCACCATGAAAGGCCCAGCTTATTAATGGATCCTGTTGTCCTTCTGAAATCTGCTGATCACTATTGGGTGGTAGGCTTTGTAAATGTCAAAGATTCCTTGGAAATTATTAAAAATAACTGCTGTATTGCCCAATCTTGGTCCCTCCTACAGACAGATAGTGCAGACCACCACCAGTACTAGATGCACATAAACATCTAATAATACTACCTGAAACTATCACATTGGCCATTGCGATCCCAGTGTCAAAGACATTACTGATGTGAAGATATGTGATTGGATTAAAAATACTTATCCATACACTGTTACAAATTCCAATATTGATTATTTTTAAGTTTCCTGAAACAACTCTTGGCTGACTTTTACCACACTGCAAACAAATTTTGTCTTATACATCAACCTTTTTACTAACAAATTTTCCAGAAAATTACATTTTCCTGCCTTAAAACAACTCTTTATTCATTAACTTCAAGTTCCAACTGTGAATTCAAGCTCCGTGTCTATATTTATGTTTGTACTCGAGATTGAATTATATGTGCCATTTTCATTATCTCCTAATAGTGGTGACACTGAGTCCTTACCCTTATTTCAAAACTACCCAGAAATTAATCTCCCTGGGTACTTCTTTTCTGTAGGTCAGCCCCACTTTTTAGATTAATCCCGGAACCCAAGAGAGTCACTATCCAGCACTGAGTCCCTGTTCTCTATTCCAGGTCACGCTTACCCCTCATACAAACGAAGGACACTTTTGCCCCAAGCTGGAAATTAAAATGTGGAAAGAGCACATAGCCATTAGGGAGTTGGTCCAGGAGGTCAGTACATGATTTTACTAGGAAAAAAAAAATAGGAGTAAGACTGCCATGTAAAGAATAAAGAGATCATTGATCTGCAAACCAGACAAGAGTGTAGCCACCTGCACATCTGGGGGCTGCAGGGCTCAAGTCTCCCTGGGGCGTACAGCGCAGAGAAGCAGCCCCTCTGAGATCATAGCCAGGCTCACAGCCATAGAGCACTTCCTGCCCAGGGGAAAATTCGTCCTTATTGCTTGGGGTGTGCTTACCATGTGGAGTTTCTGGAGGCAGCTGACATACTGTGGAAAGAACAGGTCCAAAGTACCTGTCAGTTATGGGAAAACATCTTTTGCTATATCCTTTGCCTGCCAGGGAGCTTAAAAATCCTCAATTACAGAGTATAGATTTTAAAAGAAAAGATCTGGTGGTTCAGTACCCACATTTTATTGATAAGCAAACTTAAGACCCAGTTCAGAGCTGTGACTAGAACCAGGGTTTCTCTGACACCTTATCTGTGTTAATTCTACTAAAATGTTCCTAAGGCTGCAAGCAGAGTATTCCTTTTGCTTTCGGGTACTGGCTGTCCAGTACAGAGCCGTGAGTGCTGGTGGCTTGTTCTGCTCTTACACTTCCTAGAAAGGTAGCCTTTCTGGAAACCACAAGTGACACCTTTGCCCAAGTCTCATCAAACAGACCCGCTCACCTAGCTCACTGTACAGTCAGTCACACGTCCCTCTTCATTTTTCCTCCCTGCTCCTCTTTCAGGACTGTAAGCCTCCTCTCAGTCCCTATGTGCCAGCGTGGATTCTTCCCACTCCACTGCTAAGCCAGCCACTTCAGCACAAGAAGACAAGAGAAGCCATCAAGAACAAAATTCCCTTAAAAGATAAAGGCTATAGAATGTTTGAAGAGAGAACATATTGCTTAGAGCATATTTTGACTCAAATTTTGGCAGCCCCCATCCATAGCCCAATTCATGTGTGCTCAGGGCATCAGAACACGTTTGAGTCTCAATCTGAACCATATATACAGTCATGAGTCACTTCATGACAGGGATACGTTCTGAGAAATGCGTCGTTAGGTGATTTAGTCATTGTGCGAACATCACAGAGCGTACTTACAAAATGAGGTCCGTCGTTGACCGATACATCATTATGCAGCACTTGATTGTAAGTGAATAAAAATGAAAAAAATCTTTGCTTGTATTTGAGCAAGTCATTTCCCCTTTCAGAGCCTCAGAGTTTTCAGTAATAACATGGAGGAGTTGGAACAGAATGAGGGAAGTCTAAGGCCTTTTTAATCCGATTCTATCGTTTGGGTCCCAGGGCTCATTTGCCTACTGACCCCCTCCAATGATAGATCTATGTCACTGTTATCATACAATATATTCATCGTACATTTCACTATATATTATCATTAGGCTCTGCAATCAGAAAGGGTCTTGAATTCCAGGCCTCATTCTGTTATTTACTAGCTCTGTGACCTGGGAAAAGTTATTTAACATTTCTAAGACTCAGATTTCTCAATGTAAAATGGGGATAAGAATGGTTCCTGCCTTATATGTTTGCTCTAAGTATTAAATTAAACAATGCGTATAAAATGTATGTTTTACAGATGACAGAGTGAACCATTACTTTTTGACAATTATTACTGTCAGAGGTAACATAGAGTTAGAGTTATGTTTAGAGTGTTTATAACAATTTCATCATCCTTGAGTGTACACACTCACACACACATCTTCCTTAATTTCAACAGCTCTTATCATTTACACTCCCCCACAAACCCCCAGCAGAGTCTCAGTGGATGAAACTCACCCCTGGAGCAGCTTGGCAGCTCAGGCACCCGTGGGTTGTTGGCCCGGCACTATGGGGCCCTGTCATGACAAAGCCAGACTGACATCTAAATCTCACAATCTCATTTAAGGAAAATAAACTCCTATGTCCTGATACTCTAATTCCATTTTCAACTTCTGGAGTTGTGCGTTAATTAGCAGAAATACACTGAGGAGGAGGGCTGCTCCAGACACCAACTTGATCATCTTTGGTGGTACAGGATATCGACTCTTCTCCCACGAGGTCAAACAGCTTTTCTCCACTTGGCCCAGTGAGACACCAATAAGTGACCACTGTTGCATATTGCAAAGCACTTCTGTTGCTGCTGTAGTAGTCTCCATTGGATATGGCTCGGGGTGGCTCACAAGATATACCTGGAGAAAGGGAGAGTGTGGTAACAACAGCTTAGCTTTTAATTTTTTTAAAAGACAATTTATCTTTTAGAGCTCTTTGAGGTTCAGAGTAAAATTGAGGAGAAGGTACAGAGATTTCCCATATACTCCGGCCCCTACACATGCATAGCCTCCCCCATTATCAACGTCCCCCATCAGAGTGGTACATTTGTTACAACTGATGAACCTATATTGACACAGCATAATCACCCAAGTCTATAGTCTTTATCTGGGTTCACTCTTGGTGTTGCGCATTCTGTGGGTTTGGACAAATACATAATGACATATATCTGTTATTCTGGTATCAGGCAGAGTGTTTTCATTGCCCTAAAAATCCTCAGTGCTCTGCCTGTTAACCCTACCCCCACCCCAAACCCTGGCGACTACTGATGTGTTTACTGTTGTTCTGTTTTCGTGAATACTTGTGAATACAATGAACACAATTCATTGTAGGAAATTTATAAAGTATGGAGAAAAAAAAAGAAAAAACAATAATGGTCCAAAAATAACTATTCTTAACAACTTAATGTATATAATTTCAGATATTCATGCATGTGTTTCTATGGATTTATGTTCTACAGTGTCATATGTGGAGGCTGAATAATATTCAGGCATGTAGGTACATAGATCTACTGTCTATTTCCACTTGGATGAGGCATCTCAATCTCTAATTCCTCGCGGTACACTTTATACCTTTTTTAAAAATTTATCATACCTATTTTTAACAAGCCTTATTTCTTCCATTAGCTATTTTCAAACCATGCTGAACATTTAGATCTTTAACTTTTTCCACTGTCATAAATATTGTTGCATTGAGTGTCTCTGGACCAAAATCATGAGAAAATTCCATGATTATGTTCTTAGGATAAATTCTGGGAAATGGACTGGGTGGGTCAAAGGGTATTTGCATTAGAAGTTTCTGCCCACTTTTATTGCCATCAACTTTGTGTGTGATACTGATTTCTTCACAGCCTTAACACTTCACCAATTTGCAATCAGTCATTCTTCCATGTTTCTCAAAATTTTGAGGTTCACAGTATAATATCCCATTGACAAGATGGACGGTTACCTAATCAAGAACCAATACAACTAGGGCATGAGCCTGGAAGAATTTGAAGGACGAATAAAATGCAGAACGACCAGAGGCTTGGGGAAATTGCTAAGAATTATATGAGTAAGAATAATAAGGAAGGAAGCAATCTACTTCCTGGAATTGCAATGTGCTATTATGCAGTGGCAGAGACAAATTTAATTTTCTTTAAAATCTTTTAAGTTTAGTCACTAGGAGAATGATCTTCATACTGGAAAGAGTTTACTATCAAAACACAAAGTAGGGCAATTTTACCTGAGTTCAAGTCCACATTTTCAGGTAAATTACCTCCTAAAATAGAGAAACACCAGAAGAACTATGTAGCACATGACTCCAATTTTCAAATATCTGAGAGATTACTCTGTGCGAGATGGATTGAATTTCTTCTCTGTAATTCCAGGGGCAAATATGGATCAAATGGAGGGAACTATGGGGAAAAGTATTTCAACTCACTCTCACAAAGAGGTGCATCCTTATCCCAAGTGACATTATTGCCTGAAAGGAGACAAGCAGCAGATGGGAAGCCAATGAGTCGATACCTAGAAGCAAAGAACGAAAAATGATTATACTCTACACATATTTCCCACTTAACTTACCATGAGAAAATAATATCAGGTAGATGTTACAAATTACAGGACAGATTAAAACCTGGGGGACCTCAAGAAAGAAACCCCATCTCCATCTGCAAATTAGTCCTTTATTTCTAAGGACAAGCTTAAATTCTTCCCTCTTTAACCTATCTTCATTCCTAGTCCCTCACAACTCAATGCAACAATTCTCTTATTTATAATGGGACATTTTTGTGCTTGTCTTTTAGAAACCCCACAGAGTTGTTTTATCCATGTGTACTTCCATCCAGGAAATTATTAGCTCTTTAATTAGCATAAATATCTTATTGATATATATATATATACACTCTCTAGCGCCTTGCCTAGAGACTTTCAAGCATGGGGTGCTCAAAAAATATTTGTTGATTGATAAAAAGAATGATCACTTTACCCTGAAGATTCAGTAAATGAGAGCCAGAGGAAACACCTAATCATCTCTACACCTGAAATGTAAAAAGTAGGAGTACTTACTCACTGTGCCATAAAATCATTCAAAGTATGCCACAAAATTTGGAACATTTCATCATCATTTATTTTTTAAGTATCTATACTGTTACTGTGACAAATGTCACAGAGGATGCTCAGCTAAGGTATTCACATGTTCCAATGTACAGCAGGGCTAAACTTGATCAAGTAAAAGCTAAGGGGTATAGTGCAATGTCATATGACAGTGAGGTAGGTAGTGGAACAGCTAAGAACTTTGCCTCTTGATTACGTAAGACATGTGATCAGGGCAGTAACCATTTCTACTTGAGACTACTAGTATCTCCAGTATCCACTTCCCTCTCCTTCATTAGTAACAGAACCCTGTGTTTTTTACTGGGTCAATGGTCACCTTCAATTAACACTTTATTTCCCAGCCTCCCTTACAGCCTGGGATAGCCATGTGATCATGTTCTGGCTAGACAGATTTTACTGGGCTATCTTTAAAGGGATGGGTGTTTCCTTCTGTCATTCTCCCTCTTTCTGACTGGAGTTTGGACCATGCGATGAAATGGAGAGTCAGATGGAAGGATCCCAGGTTTCTGTGGATCATGGAGCCACCATATGAGCCTTGGACTACCCATAATTCTTAACCCGAGAGAGAAGTAAACTACTATCTTGTTTAAGTTCCTGTTATTTTGTGTTTCTCTGTCGTTTCCAGCTTAACCTAATCCTAACTTTCATACCAGTTCTTCCCAAAACAGTGACATAAAGATGATGGGAACAGATGTGGGTACAGCAATGACAGTGAATATTTTTGTAGACACATTGAGTCTCTTTTATATTTAAGTAGTGATTGAATTTTACTTAACTGTTAACTTTTCTTTTGCTTATGTTTTAAAATCAATTCAAGTGTGACAGCAAAAATTTAATCTTCAAAATTTCTGCAAGCAAACAAGTTGAGACTCACTAGAGTAAGGAAGAAGTTAATAATCCCTCTACTACGTGTGTGTTTCCTTCTGCCTGTCTCTTATCATACATTTAAAAATTGCCTTAAGGGCACCAGATCATGGATGTCTTCTGACTTCTGACATTATAGAGGTTGCCCTTAGCATGCTCACTATGACTAATCTAGAGAATTGGAGTAAAAATGCGAAGCAGTTTCCAGCCTATGTATACCTTCAAAAAACTGTGAATATTTTTCAAGGTGTTTAATAAGACATGAATATGCTGCAGTAGTGCTTATGTCGTCCTGACCTGATTGCCCATCTCTGTGAGGTTCTTTCATTGGAGACTACTTCTTAGCTCCCTTGGGCGTTAGAAATTTGGGTAGCCATGAAGCTAAATCATTGTCCAAGAAGAGTCATAAGATTCTTTGCTTATAAGCAACATACACACTGTGGAGAAGTATGATGAAACATATAGAGCTCATTAAGTAAGATCCTAGATGGGAGAATCAGGGGCTGGGAATGGTGCCATTTCTATCTTTTCATTTTGTTCATGCGTTTTAAACTATTTTGCAATAGAAGGAATCTATGAAAACATTTAATAGGTTGCAAATTAATAAAGGTAGCTCACAGATATGATTCTGCAGCAGGCGTCATTTTTTTTAAGTAATTTAAAATCGAATTTTACTGGATTATGGAAGTTAACATGTATTCATTCTAGACCAACTTGGAAGTCATGAATAACCCAAAGATCAAAAAAGTCACCATCCATATTTATACCACTAATTACAGTTAATTTTTTTCTATGGATCATTCTAGTCTTTTTATCTAAAAATACGCATGTAACCCAGACGTCAACTGGGCAAGAGCTGATTAAATGGGACACAAGCACCAATTCCAGATCTGTAAAGTACAGATTCCCATCTGCCCTCACCACCCCTCCAACCAGGAGTTCTCAGGTTTCTTGGGGCTGACTTCCTCATGTTGCTCTCGGTTTCTCCACCTCTGTGTCCATGTCTGCTGGCTCAGGGTGGTATGCATAATATTCAGCTGCAGAGCCAAAGCCCTTTGTGGATTTCTGTAAAAAAATCCACTCACATTTAAGTATTTTATGACTTCATTTCCTTTACTGAAGATTTGGAGGGGGTCATATTTTGAAGAGCGTCTCCAGCCATATTTTTGGCTCCTCTTTCCAAAGCCTCCCTCTCTGGAATACTAAATACCTTGCACCTATCTGTCACAGAACTGTTCTACCTATATTTATTCCCCACTTTTTCTTCAACTGGTTTCCCCCACAACTGCAGATTTTTCCTAAGAGGATGGGTAAAATTTCCACCTCTTTAAACCTTTATACAACTATAGTTACAGTTTAAACCAAAATGTTTAAACTCATCTTGTATGTGGTTTTATAACTTCTTTAATAATTATAGACTATATTGTGAAATATTTCTTCATTAGTATTTATTACTCCACAACATCATTTTTAGTGGCTGTTTGTTGGTTATTACTTGAATGGGCCATCATCTATCTAATTCCCTGTTATTGGAAATTAGTTTCTCATTTTGACTGTTAGGAAAAACACTACAATGCACATTCTTGTACACAGGAAAAGAAATGAGACTGAAACTGCACTGACCTCAAAGACTTCAAAGAAAGCTTGAGGACTCAGATCTTAAGGGCCACCCAAGGGAGAAGATTTGTAGATTTGGGTGAAAGGCTATGCAAGGCTTTAAGCCTTTTGGTACATATTTCCAGATTGCCCTCCACAAAACTTTGACCATGACCTACTAGTAAGTCATGGCAGTGCACCTTTCTCTGTGCCTATATTACCACAAGGTTTTGTCAATTTGCCAGCCTAATAGGCAAGTATGACATTCCATTTTAAAAGAGTATTTCTCATATTACAAGTGAAGCTAAACTTTTCCATATGTTTATTTGACTTGTTCCATTTTTCTTTTGTACATTATCTATTCATAACTTACCATTTTTCTATTTGGGTATTTACTTTTTATAATTGATATACAAGACGTATTTTTATGTTTTTCCCATTGGGTGTTCATCGTTAAATTATTTTTGTATGTACAAAGGTGTTTTTTTGGGGAGTATTCAATTTGTCAATCGTGTCCACAGTAGAATTTTTCCTTACTATACACCTATGGAGGTTTCAAATCAAAAACATATTTGTCTATATATTCATCTAGTTCTTTTAGGTTTTATTTTTAACTTTAAATTCTTAATCCACGTGGACTTTTCTTTGGTGTATGACATGAGGCTGGGATCTAACTTGTCTTTTTAGATGTTTGCCTTATTAATGAATAATTCAGATTTTCCATGCCTTGAAATGCCACGTTTATCACTGCCATATTCTTACAACAACTTGTGCTATTTCTTGGGCTCTGTGTTTTGCTCTATGGATCTATGTCTCTATTCCTACATCATACCAGTTATTTTATTCTCTTAAATAAATTTTAGCATCACTTCTCTTTTGTAATATGTTCTGGTAGTAAAGACCCCTCTTGTTACTATTTCAGTTAAGTACTAAATTCTTGTTACTAAATTTTGTGGATCAGTCACATGACATGTACAATCATCTTGTCAAATTAAAAGAAGAATGTCGTTGGAACTCTGATTGGAATTGCATTAAATATGCATACTAATTCCGAGATAATTAACATCTCCACAACATTAAGTCCTTTTTTAAATAAAATTTTTATTCTCCATTTCTTCAAGTGCTTTTTTTTCTCCCCCAAAAATGTTCAAATCCTCTACTTACATGTCCTGCATACTTCTTGTTAAATTTGTTTCTAGATGATGTTGCTGCTGTTGTGAATGGTGTTTTTCCTCACTGTATTCCACTTGGTTGTTAATTATATAAAGAAAGTAACTAATTTATGAATGTTTGTTTTTTACTATACACCTTATTGATGTCCGCACAACAATGAAATTACCAAAAAACACATTTATCAGAACATAACCCCATTGTTAAGTGATGCATGACTCTACTTAACATTTGCTTTAAGATTTTAAAATTTATATTATCAAGTGAGCCAGAGATATGTTTTGTTTTCATTTGCAGTCTTTGGCAAACTTTAATATGGGCATAATTGTATTTCGGTAACAGTTTAAATAATATTTTTCTTATCTATTTCTTGAAGTTTAAAAGAAGTTACAAAACTGGGCCATTTTCTTTATTTGAAGGCATTTCTTTGTGGTGGTTTTAAATATGCCCACAAATTCTTTGATGCACTTTCCTTCCAGTTCTGGAGCATAATACCTCTCTTGTTGAATATGGGCTGGGCTTAGTGACTTGATTCTAGTGAATAAAATAAAGTGTAAGGGATAGTGAGCAACTTCAGAGACTAGGTCAGAAAGGCACTGTGATGTCTTCCACTGTCTTTCAGATTCCTCATCTAGGAGAAGCCAGTAGCCCTTAGAAGAGGCCCCTGAGGTGAGGAACTGAAGTCTCCTGCTAACAGCCATGTGAGTGAGCCTTCTTGGAAGTGGGTTCTCCACCTCCAGTCAAGCTATTAGATGACTGCAGACCCAGTCAACACTGAAGATACTATCAAGAAAGTGAAAAGACAACCCACAGAATTGAAGAAAATATTTGCAAATCATTTATCTGAGAGTGATTTAATCTACAGAATTGTAAAGAACTCCTGCAACTCATCGACAAAAGACAAACAAACAACCCAATTTCAAAAGCAGGCAAAGGTCTTGAATAGACATTATCCAAGGAAGATATACAAATGGCCAGTAAACTCATGAAAAGATACTAAACATCATTAATCATTAGGGAAATCCAAATCAAACCCACTTTGCACCTTTTAGGAAGGCTATGATAGTAATTTTTTTAAAAAGGGAAATTCTTAGAATCCTACAACTTCCCAAAACTGAATCAAGAAGAAATAGAGAATATGAATAGACCTATCACAAGTAAAGAGATTGAAACAGTAATCAAAAACCTCCCAAAAACAAAAGTTCAGGACCAGACAGCTTTTCTGGTGAATTCTACCAAACATTTAAAGAAGATTTAATACCTGCCCTTCTCAAACTCTTCCAAAAAATTCAAGAGGAAGGGACACTTCCTAACTTATTTTACAAGGCCAACATTACCCTGATACCAAAATCAGACAAAGGACAACACAAAAAATGGAATATTACAGGCCAATATTGCTGATTATGTTGGAAGCAAAAATCTTCAGCAAGCTATTAGCAAATTGAATATAATAATACATTGAAAGGATCATACACCAGGATCAAGCAGGATTTATTCTAGGGATGCAGGGATGGCTCAATATCCACAAATCAATCAATGTGACGTACCACTTTAACAAAATGAAGAATAAAAATCACAAGATCATCTCAATAGATGCAGAGAAAGCATTTGACAAGATTCAACATCCATTTATGATTAAAAAAACTCTCAATAAAATAGGTATAGAAGGAAAATATTTCAACATAATTTAAAGGCCATATATGACAAACCCACAGCTAACATCATACTCAACAGTGA